TTCGAGACAGGGTCCCGCTATGAAAGCACAGCCTGGCTCAAAATCTAGATCCTCCTGCCTCAGCCTCCCCAAGGCTGGGATTTCCATGCCCATTCAGATGAGTTTTTGATCACATTTCATCATCATTAAGAATTAGCTCTGAGGGCTGGGGGTTTGTCTCAGTGGTTCCACCGCCTGCCTCGCAAGCACAAGGTCCTGAGTTTGATTCCTGGTACAAAAAAAAGAATTAGCTCTGTGACATTAGCACAGCAAGTTACCAGCCCCAATCCGTCCCCCTGGCACGAGCCCCGCGGAGCCCAGGTGGCACCGACAGGAGAATTGCGGGGGGCGGGGTGGACACAGGAAGAAAGGAAAGCGAGGGAGGCGGGAAGAGCAGCAGGCCTGGTGCAGCTCTGCATCCTCCAGGGAAGTCGGCCGCGGGGCCCCTGGATGGGAAAGGGCTCGCGATGGGCCAGAATGGACGCAAACACTGCTGAGGACCCCGGCCTCCCTCCTGGCCTCCCACCCGGCCATGACGGCTTGAAAGGCCAAGCGCAGGTTAATTTGTCTTTCTTTACACTGTGTATTTCCTTTATTGTTTCGTATTATATTACAGTATCGTGATCATTTTTATATGGATGTGTTAGGTTGTGGAGTGAATCATCTGAGTTTCCGTTATTTTTTATGGGAAAATTCAGCAACCTGATAAAGTGATGGAACAAACAGAACGAATGAGCATAACCGCGATGGCGCTCCAGATGGGAGACAGGCCACGCGGGGAGCGTTTCAGATGCTCTGCAAAAACTGCACGCGGGAGTCGCAGACTCTGGAGCTGGACAGGACGCTGAGAAGTCCCTGGTTCTCTCTGATTCAAAATGAACCACCTGTCACCCACTGCCAGCGCCCCCTCCAATCACTGCCTGGGTATTAGTTCCCCCTCCAATCATCTCCCGGGTAACAGCTCCCCCTCCAATCACCATCCAGGTTACAGCTCCCCCTCCAATCACCTCCCCGGTAACAGATTCCCCCTCCAATCCCCACCCAGGTAACAGCTCCACTGAATCTCCAATCGAAAGCCCGGTCTGAGAACGCTCATCTATCTCGGGGGACAGGGGACAGGGTGACCAAAGGCCAGCAGGGTCCTGCCCGCCCTGGCCTGGAGCCGGCACCACTCTCGAGCGACTCGGGGGTCTGTGTAGACCGCACCAGTCCTGCTCCCACAATCCCGTCGTTCTCCTGGGGCCTTAGTGCCGATCTTGGCCCTGCTCCCGGAAGCCTGTCGCTCTGGCCAGCTTCGGACAGTGTCAGGGCCCCAGGCCCTCTGCGAGCCATTAAAGCATTCTGTGAGGCGCAGAATGAGTGTGTTCCAGCCCGCGCCGCCCCGCCTTCAGGGCGGTCGCTCAGAATACACGGATTCGACGTGAAAACCGTACATGTGGTAAAGTACGTGTAATTTTACATAAAGTGACAAAACTGCCACTTAAGTGTGCGACCCAGCAGTCAGGTACATTCACAGTGCTGTTCACCACCCCTCCAATCCAGATCGGCCTCGTCTCCCAAGCGAAAACTCAGCCCACCACACCATTCTCCATTGTTCTGCTCCCTGCATAATCCCCATTGCACTTTCTGCCTTTCAGTTTCTCTCTCCTGGGTATTTCCTATCCTGAGATCTCACGGCCTTTGTCCGTTTGTGGCTGGTATCTGTCACTTAGTAGCATCTTGTTTCCAAGGTTCATCTGTGCCAGCTTCGCTCCTTTTCATGGCTGTGTAATATTCCACAGTGCAGAGGGGTGTTCTGTTCACTCATTGTCTTCATGACCCCTGGGCTGTTTCTACCTTGTGGGTACTATGAAAAGTGCTGCTGAGAGCACTGCATACAAGTCTCTGTTTGAGTCCTTACTTTTAATTGTTTCAAGTGCAGACCCAGGAGCAGAATTGCCAGATCCCATGCAATTTTTTATATTTAACTTCTGGAGGCCCCGCTAGCCTGTTCTCCACAGGAGCTGCCGTTTTCCATCCCAAGCAGCCACACATGAGGGCTTTAGTTTCTCCACATCCTCACCAAAGCCTGAGTTTTTTCTGTACACATGAAATCAAGGATCCACCATGCAGATGAAGATAGAAGACTGTACAGAACGGGGAAGGGGGACGTTACCAGACCCCTGCAGTGAGTCCTGGTCTCCTGTGAGCCACTACAGCACAAGGCGAATTAATGAATTAAGACAGGAAATGAGACTTAGAGAAGCAGCTGAGCTTTGGGCCTCATCGGTGCTGCTCTGGCAGCAAGGACAAAGGCACCCAGGCTCGCCACACCTTTATTACATTGGGAGTAACAGGTGACTCAGAGGGCAGCAATAATCCTAGGACAATGAGGAACTTATGCAGATGAAGACCCTAGGGGGACAAAGAGCTTAGGTTGATTAGGAATCTGTCCCTCCCCAGGTGAAACCTTTCTCTTACTGCTTGGTTCTTAAGGAACCAGGACGTCTTCAGCCATGCAATCCTTCCCTGGAGCTTCACAGCATCATGGGACCATTGAGGTCTTAGCTGTGACCGGAAGCAAAAACGGCTTTATGTCTCGACATGCCATAGCCGGGCTGTGGGCGGGAGAACTAGGCCTAATCACAACTTAATTGTGAAATGATTTTTCCCCAAAATGATGTAGACTTGCTCTCAACAGACACCATTTCTGCAGCCCAGGATTCTAGAAATGGTGAAGAGCCTGAGAACCAGGCCGGAAACTTCCTGTGATTCCCCCAGAGCAGGCTGGCTAACTCAGGACCTAGAAACAGCCCAGGGTCTGCAGGTGGATGTTAGAAATGACACTGTCACCTTGATGGAGCAGCTGATGAGGCCGTAGTGGCCCAAGCCCACGGATCCTGGGCCACTGCCTTCCCTTCCGTCTTGAGCTGGGGAGATGCCCGGCGGGAGGAGGTGAGAGCGGGGGAGCTGTAGCAGCAGCCCTGGCATAGAGACCTCAGTATTTCTTGCCCAGCCTCGCCCCAAACTGCAAACATGAAGTGTAGCAGACATGCTGACCTCCCTGAATTCACTTTCCAAAGGTCGACCAGGATGAGCTCGGGTCTAATGGAACTGTCACGTCTGCCACTCGGCCATTTACAACACCCTCTCGCCAGCACAAACAGAGCAATTACGTGTCGCGGACCTTACAAGATCCTGAGGTCCCCACAAGGGGGAGACAGGCACAGCTGAGTCCAGTTATTTGAAAAAAGGGAGAGATAGGCTGGGTCCAGTTGCAAATGCCTGTGATCCTGGCACTCAGGAGGCTGAGGCAGGAGGATCACCGAGAGTTCAAGTTCAACCCAGGCTACATACACAGTGAGGCCCTGTCTCCTGCCCCCAAAAGAAGGGTTCCTTAGAAAAATTTGAAAATTTGCACTTCCTAGAAAGCCAGTGTGAAGACAGAATCCAGGTGGTTTTGAAAGTGGCACTGTCTCACAGGTATAAATGGCACCGAGCCACCCCCTTGCAGAGGGGCTGGAATTCCGGGAAGAACCAGCCAGAGCACGCTGGCGTTTAAACCTTCATGACACCTGGACTGACTCGAGCCCCCTCTAAGTAGAGGGTCAGCACATGGCAGGCTGTGGCAGGGACTGGCAAGCGGCAGGCGGAGGTGGGTCTTGTTCACTGGGACATCCAGGAGCTCCCCAGGAGTGGGCCCAGAGAGGGATCCCCACTGTGGGTCCTTGCCCCTCCCCACTGACCGGAGCCGGGCTGGCCGGCACTGCACGGATCCACAGGGTCATCCTCCGCATGGCTTCCCCAGGGTGGCAGCCTGCAGGCACCCGGTCTCATTTTTCATCTATTTTTCCAATGGTGGGGAATCGCAGTCCTGTCAGTTCCAGAGAAGGGTGGTCACGACATAACGAGGGAGGCTGCTGGGCAGGCTGTCCCAGTCCCTCCTGGGGATGAGCAGGAGAGAGGGGGCTAAGGCCAGGTGGGATGGCTACGGGCCACACCCCACCTTGCAGCCCGCACAGCAGGAGTCAGGTGCTTCTTGTCTGTCCTGTTTTCACTGTTGGCTCCAAAGCCCTGGGAATGCAGTCACCACCTGGCACTGCTTTCCCCTCACTTGTCCCCTGGTCTCCAAAAGGCCCTTGATGTTGTTTCTCTAGGTCACTTTGTCCCCTCCTTGGGACCTCTGCCTGGCTGGTTGTGTAGGCAGCTTCTTGTCACTGACAGAATTCTGGGAACAACTTGAAGGAGCAGAGCTTTGCCTTTGCTCTCGGTTCTGCAGGGTTCAGTCCATGGCCAGCTGGCTCCACTGCTGTGGGCCCGTGTGTGGCCAGGTGGGAACATCAGGGCAGAGAGCGCAGTGAAGAAAAGGAGCCAGAGACGAGAAGCACCCTTCCAGGTGACACCCAGCTCCTGAGAGCCTCAGCCATGACCTCATTGATGGGTTAAGGGTTCGTCCATGGATGAGTTCACAGCTGACTGTGCTGTTAGGAGTCTGGGCCTGATTGGGGGCAGTCACTGGGGCTCGACCGCCTCTGGGGCATCCCGTACCCGGCTCCTCCCCTCTCTGCTTCCTGGCCACCAAGAATTACCCAGTTTTTTCCACTGTGTGCTCCTGCCATGCTCTTTCTGCCTTGGAGCCAGCCAACCGTGGACTGAATCACCCAAAACCACGAGCCAGACTCAGCCTCTGCTCCTTCAAGTTGTGCTGAATGTTGTGTCCTAGAGACAAGAAAACTAACACACACACATTCACACATGGCCCCAGTGTTATAAAAATCGACAAGTTTGTCTCCTAAGCCTTGTGGTTCAGCCTTCACAATCAAAGTGAACACAGGCCAGGCCTGCCATTGCACACGCGCGCACACACACCGCAGGCCAAGGTGACACTCCACCACAGGTCCCTGTAACAATCTCTGATCACCATCCCCATCTACCACCCTGGACCCTCCCCACCCACTGCCAGGGTCGAGGAGGCCACCGGCCACCCAGCCCTGCCCACACAGACCTGGTCACCAACAAGAAGCACACTGCACCTACACACGTGTGTGCACACATCCGTGTTTATTGAATAAAACTCTCCATCGCTCTTTTCCGCATGTACTTATAACCTAGAAGAACAACTCAAAAAGAACAATTCAAAAAGTATCTCGCTGGGCTCAGTTTTAAAAAGTATAAAAATAAACACTGGGATTTCTGAGAGATGTGAACGTGCTGGGCTGAGGACACACCTCAGGCAGCCACAGCCACGACAGTGGAAAGTGCTGATGGCCCTGGGGGCCCACGGGGACCGAAGCACCTCCACACACGGCCCAGCGGCCCCGAAAGTGACACAGGCAGGGATGGAGTGCTTCAAACGCCCATGGCCCCAAAATCAACCCCGAAGACACTTTAACCGTTCAGAGGCCACAGAGTGCAGAGACCCTAAGAAAGCGTCAACCCAGGACTTCCCGCGGGCGGCAGGCTGGAGTGGGACCCTGGACCCCAGGAACCGTGCTCCATCCGTGACACTGTTTGTGAGCGATCAGCCCCAGGCCCAGAGGCCACGGTGACTCCAGTGTCAGCTGAGACTCGACGGGGCAGGGACCATCCAGGGCCCAGGAGTGCAGAAGGAGGCGTCACACCTTCCAGGGCGACAGGGCACCCAGCCTGACGAGGCTGAGACCACCTCGCTGCTTGGGTGGGCTCTGACACCGGAACGCCAGCCGTGCCACAGCCGTGCCCCATCCTCTCGGGCAGCAAGACCTGCGCTCAGCGGGCCGGGCCACGAGGGAGCCCAAACGACCCTCCGCTCTCCGGCGCCTGGGGACACGTGGCCCAGCCTCCTCTCTGCAGCGGGACAGCGCCCTGAGGAGCCTGTGATGCACAAACGCCGTGGGTGCCCAGGGCCAAGGGCACGGCCTCAGAAGCCCTGCAGCTCGGGGATGTCTCGATACAGGTCCAGGGTCTCGGGATTGGAGAAGGCCCCGCGATGCTCCACCGCCTTCCCGGCCAGGACCTCCTTCACCGCCACCTCCACCTTCTTGCCGTTGAGCGTGTACTGTGGACAAGGAGAGAAGCAAACAGCACAGCTCACACCTCCATGGGGGACCACGCACACCCTCAGCGGCACCATCGGCCACCTGCACCCTGAGGACCCGGCGCCGCCTGGACCGAGAGCAGTGGTGAGTCTGAACCGCGACTCACCGGCAGGGGCCTAGTGGCCACGGAGGACACACAGGGCAGACCCACTTCACACCTGGGACCCATTCACGCCAAGGCCCAGGACCAGGGCCACTCCGAGCACTCCCTGCACCCTCCCGTCCCCACACGGCCTCTCAGGGACACCACGGGGCCACGCAGGCGGACGGGCAGTTCCACCCCGAAGTCCAGCAGGACGGTCGCCTTGGGCCCTCAGCCCGTGATCGCAGGATGAAGACGTGGCCCCTTCTCAGGGTGCAGAGTCCATAGAAAACCCAGAGCACAGGCCTAGCCCCAGCAGGAACCCCAAGGAAGGTCCCCTCGGTGTGACTTCCGCACTGGGCCAGGGCTCCTCCAGGTGAACCGCTCCGACCACGACGGACAAGGGCAGCAGCCGGCTCCTCGTCTCAGTGTGGCTTCGGCCTGCACTGTGTCTATTTCAGGGCTGCACTTCTGCCCCACGCCACACTACTTGGCGAAGCCCACGGGTGCTGGCCCTGCTGGTGCGGCCCGAGGGCCTCAGCAAACCCTGGGGCCTCCAGGTCTCTGCCTGCCGGGGCAGCCTAGCCTTTTCCCCTGGTCAGAGCCTCAAACTGCCATGGCCCTCCTCAGAGGGGCTCCGCTGGCTGTCACGGGCGCCGGCCCTCCCCGCACTCCTCACCAGACGCAATTAAGATGCATTCCTTGGAAAAATTCAGCGACACGTGAACCAACCCAGGAGCTAGCTAAGCACTGGCTTCCAGGGAGCCTGTCACCCAGGCCGTCACCACCCTCACCCAGGACACAAACATCCCGCGTGCTGCATGCCTCTGAGCTCCTGGAGACCCTGCCTGGCTGCTCTGGGATGCGGGCAGGTGGGCACAGCTGGTAGCTCACCCTCAGGGCTCCAGGGGACCCCACGCCTGCAGGTGAGGGAGGAGCACCCGAGAGCCAGTGTACGAGGGCCGCTGAGCCCCAGCACGGTGCCGCCACACTAGCAGGTGCGCTGTCTCTGGCCATCTCAGGGCGGAGCAGACCGAGGCAGGACACCCGGCAGGTACAGGCCAGCCAGAGGGCGGGCGTGAGCCAGGGAAGGGGCGCCCCAGTGCCCAGGGCAGCGGGGACCACACCACAGGCTCTCACTATGGACCCCAGGCTAGTCTCAAATTTGTATGGATCCTCCTGCCTCAGCCTCCGGAGTGCTGGCATCATAGGCCTGCACCACCACGCCTGGCGCCTCTGGGTCCTTTCATTCTGCCCGTGCCCATTCCCTCCTGGGCAGGGCAGGGCATGGGGGCTCGTTCCCCGAGTTACAGACCAGACGCGGGGAGGGTCCCGCCCACACAGCCGGGCCCCAGGGGCTGCTAAAAGTGCAGACAGCCACTTCCCTCGCCCACAGAGGCCTGGCTCCGTCAGCTGTGACCCGCCCAGGGGCTCCTGCCCACCCCGAATCGCACCCGACCAGGAAGACCCCGACAGACCTCACGCTGCTCCCCCAGGCGCCCCAGCAGCCCCTTCTGGAAAAGTCTGGAGGACACAAACCGAGCGAGCAGAGCAGGTGACCCTGCAGGCTGTGCCTCCCAACCTCTGCCTGCAGTCTTGGAGGGGAGAGGACTCTGGTGTTGCTAAGCAACATGGACACAGAAGCGAGCTGCTCAGCGCCCAGAGCACCCACTGGGGCTCATGGTGATGCCAGGGCCTTACCGGGATGCCCTGTGTCTCCAGGATGAGGCTGGGTACGTGACGCGCGGACAGCCCCAGGCGGATGGCGTCGCGGATCCGCTTGACCAGGTCGGGCCGGAAGGCGTGGCCGGAAGCCATCTTCAGGAAGAGGATCACGCGCTCCTCGCCATCCTTGCTGTACTGGGGGACGCACAGGCTGTCCCCCACTTCCTCAAAGGCCTCCACTGCAGACACAGGAGGCGGCGCAGGGTCACAGGAGGCCCGGAGCCATCGGCACAGAATCAACCCAGCAGGGGTGGGGCTTGGGGGCACCGGGCTGGACAGGGAACCCACGTGCTGTCCCCCATTCCAACAGTGCCCATGGCCTAGACTGGAGGCCACCTGTGGGCCAGACTTACTGACGCATTAATGACAAGGAAAAAAAGGAACAGGGGCCTGGAGGGACAGAAGCAGGGCCACGCTCAGGCAGAGGGTCAGGTTGCTCCACCACGGCTGTGGGCAGCCACTGGGCAGCTGAGCCTGCACCTGTCCCTGCATGGCACTGGGCAACCCTCGGCACTCCCGAGCCCTCTCTGTGCTTCTGTGTCTTCACTCATAAAGCCTAGACCCACCGAGCTCACCACAAGGGTGAAACGCTGCGGGGAGGGGTGGCTAGCGAGCCCCGGCCCCTTCTGAGGCTTGGGAGCGGCGGTAGTACGGCCTGGTGTGCTCTGGGAAAGAAGCCATGCACTCGAGTGCCCGCCTGCCCAGGCGTCAGCCCTGCACCCGAGAGGGCCTGGGGAAGACGAGGGGACGCACCTACCGATGTTGTAGATCTCCGAGCTGCCAAAGCGCACTCCATTGGGGTTGAGCGTGCCGTCGCTGAGGGAGACAAGACCGTGAGCGCAGAGCAGCGGTGGAGGTGACCCTGTCCCCTCTTCCTCACAGTGACCATGCAAGTGACAGCCAGGGGCTGCAGCTCTGCTGCGGCCACACTCCACCACCCACTGGCACCACCGTGCCACCCGGGAGTGGCACAGGAGAGGGGCGACAGTCGCCAGGAGGGGTCTCAGGCGGAGACCTGTGCAGGCCGAGGCTCAGAAGCAGGAAAGGGGTGGGGACAGGCCAGGGAGGGGGAGCCAGGAGCCCCAGCAGGAGCAGGCGGGTGCTGGGAAGAGGATGGTGACCTCACAGGAAGTGACTCACGGGAAGTGCCCACCCCACATCTGCAGAAGGGGAAGCGGCGCCTGAGCCTCACCTGCGGCCCAGCATGATGATGCCACCCGTCTTGGGGTTGATTCTACAGTAGTCACCGTGTGCCCAGACACCTGAGAAGAGGCACAGCACTGGTCACCCCAGGGGGACATGGGGACAGGCTGCCTGGACAGCGACAGACATGGCCAGAAGACAGTGCAGGGTGGTGGTCAGTGAGGGCACTGGAGGGAGGCTCTTCCTGAGGAGGAGTCGCCAGGGCTTAGGAAGGAGCCGGGAGGGGCAGCAGGAGCAGCAACTGAGCCGGAGTGAAAGCAGTGGCCAGGGCAGGAAGCCACTGCTGCAGCCTGGGCACTGCGCCAGGCTGAATGGAAACCCTGGCCCTGGGGACACAAAGCCACCCAGCAGGTGACGGGGCATGGAGGGCAGGGGAAAGGAGGCAACCCAGACACAGCACTGCCTTGGCCATCCTCCCGGTCAGCAGGCCCCACTGCCTGCCGCAGGCCGAGGGACCCAGCGCACTGAGCAAAGGTGCAACCCAGCTGTGCGGTGCCTTGGAAGCCACCTGCTGCCACCTCAGACCAGGTGAGCCCAGGGACTCCTGTGACCTGGGAGGGGAAACTGAACAAACCCAGCTTCCACGTCACATCCACAGCCCCGGCCCAGCGCCAGACACTCCCCCTCCATGCGTGCTGACTAATACCCAGCCCCCCTGGGCGCCACCCTCCGACTGCCAAGTCCATCACCCACCGCCTCGGGAGACACACGACCAACCACCAGGGACGCCTTTGTGACTGTGACAGAAAGTGACCGAAAGGCCAGTTCTCCAAGAGCACTGCTGCAGATGACAGTCCTCAGGCAGAGAGCCCGACCCTGGCGTCCCTCTCGGGGGCGTTCTCTACGCCTGGAGCCTGGGTGAAGCTGCAACACAGCAGCCTCCCAAGGCCTCAAGGTGAGGGTGGCGGGCCCTGTAACTCAGGCCTGGGAGACGCCACGCGGGTACGGTGCCTTTCACACGATACAGCAACAGGTGAGGCCGGCAGAGCAGTGGGAAGGCAGAGCGGCGGGAAGGATCGTGGTGAGTCCCGCTGCCAACCAGCACCTGGCCCTTTCTGACTGCACGTGCAGTTTATGCAAAACCCAATCACCTTTCTAGAGGCCGCGGAAAGCCGCCAAGCACCTCATATAAATAACTCTGGGACAGGAGGCTCCTGAATTAGGGATTACAGAGCAGCGGGGATTCAAGGCTGCTTATTTCCAGAGGGAGATAGGAACCAGAGCTTTAGATAGAAGACAGCCCACCCGGGGCAGGCGCTCTTGCAGGGGACAGGCGGTGTCAGCCTGCCCGAGGGTGACCCAGCTGCAAACCACTGTCTGCAGGAGACTGGACATCGTGTGGGGACAGGAGGACAGGAAGGGGCAGCTGGGCTAGGGTCTCCTCACCACTGCTTCCCCCAGAGCAGGAGGCAGAAGGGGACCTGGAGTGGCCTCCCCGCCCCAAGGGAACCCAGTGGTCCTGGCAGGAGCCACACAGGGAGGTCCGACTCCACCCAGGATGTGGCAGGCACGACCAACACCCACATCAGCCCCGGGCAGGAGGAGCCAGCAGCAGCTTCCGGGCCTGGGGACCCAACCACCGGGACAGAGCCAGGCCGCCTACCCGGGAATTTGGAGAAATATGCCTTCCGGTACTTGCTGCCGTTCTCGTCGTTCCAGAAGTGCGTGGGCTGGCAGGGGATGGGCTTGGTGCACACCAGCTCCCCGCTCTCGCCCCACACTGCCCGGCCTAGGGGGAAGAAGCCGAGGTCAGCACAGGCACGTGCACCGGCCCGGTGTCCTGAGAAGGCCCCGCCGGTGCAGGGTGCCTGGGGCGAGCACTCTTCGCTCCCTGTGACTCTGTCCCACATCTCCCCCGAGCACCAAGTTCAGCACCTTGCTGCGCACCTCAAGCCGGGGTCTGAGCCCCACCCTCGCTCCTGTGTTGCTCTGCCCTTGGTCAACTCACACGTGTGACCCAGGAGCACATCTCGGGCTGAACACAAGTCTCTCCCGCACGCGGAGGTGGTGCCCAGTGTGCTGTGCTCCAGGTCCAGACATCGTTCACCCCACCCTGGCCGAGCCGGGAGCTGCCCTCCCTGCTGGGGAAGCTCGCTCTGCCCCAGGCCCAAGAGAAACGAGAAGAGGGCAGAGGCAAAGGGACAAGGGACCTCAGGGAGCAAACCGCCCTCTGCCGGCAGGAGGCAGCCAGCCCGGGCTTAGAAAGGTCAGGCAGAGCTCTGGGCAAGGTGGGACATGGGCCACCCCTGCTGGTCTTCCCTGAGCCTCACAGACAGGGTGGGCCTGATGCCCCACTGGCTCGGGCAGGGTGAGGTGGCAGCTGCGGTCAGGCTCTTTCAGACCGTGAACTTGCACATCCCAGGCCCTGCCGGGCGCCGGGGCACAAACAGGCTTTGCTGTTCACAGTGCATGGCCGGGAGGGGCAACAGCAAAGGCTGCTGGGGACCAGCAGAAGCCATACCCCGACCCCTGATGGCCCCTCCCAATGCCAGGGAGTCAAGGCCCGCGCAACACCGTTCGTCCTCCTCTCTCTCGGCCGGCGGGGAGCCCCATGGGGGTGGCAGTCAGGGAATGAGGCTGGGGGGACCCCGCACCGGAAGGCACTGGAGCCCTCACCTTCCTCGGTCCACGCCTCCACGGCCATGCCAAGGTTCCGGGCCTGGATCTCACCCTTGTACACAGGAACGGAAGTGTTCTGGCCCACGAAGCAGGAGATGATGTCAGTGCCCCCTGCAGGCAACACGGGAGACCCCACGGTCAGGCTGCGGATGGTGTGGCTCCCCCGCGTCAGTGAGCGGTGAGCCGGGGGGCAGCAGGGCAGCCCTGGCATGGGTCTGCAGTGGGGGGACTTAGAGACAGCTGCACCCCAGTGATGGGATGCACTTTTTTTTTTTTCAAAACTGGGGATTTGGCAGGCGTGATCCCAGCACTTGGGAGGCTGAGACAGGAGAATCACTGGGGGTTCAAAGTCAGCCTGGGCTGCATAGAGAGTTCAAGACCAGCCTGAATTAGAGCAAGACCCTGTCTCAAAAAATACCAGTACTGAGGACTGAACCTGAGGCCTTCTCACGCTAACCTTCATCCCCAGCCTCTTTTTTTAAAACTTTTTTTTTTTGGTATCGGGGATCGAACTCAGGACCTTGCACTTGCAAGGCAGGCACAGTGCCACTGAGCCAAATCCCCAGCCCCTAAAAATTTTCATTTTTACACAAGGTCTCACTAAGTTGCCCAGGCAACTTCAGGCTTGATCTTGCGGTCCTCCTGCCTCAGCCTCCAGGAGTGCTGGCATGACAGGTGTGTCCCACCAGTCCCAGCTGTGCTCCTGCTTATATTTATCTGCATAGCTGAGAAAATGTGTTTATCATTAAGACGATTTTTTCCTTAACTGTGCTCTATGTGTAGGAACTGGGAGTGCCTGTATTATTTTAAGCTCCACCTAAAAAGATTCTATCTCCAAAGCCCAGCAGGGTTTGCTTTGGTGTCAACTCCTGTGAGACAGTTCTTCCCCTCCAGACAAGAGTCTAGCTGCGCCCTCTGCTCTCTGGCTCTCCAGTCACGAAGAAACACCTGCGTCACAATCACGGCCACCACCAATGCCACGCCACCACTTGGGACCCCAGGAAACGCGTGCTCCCCACCCAGGCTTCGGGGTTCTGCAGGCAGGGAAAGCTGGGCCTCTGGAGGAAGGTGGAGCCAGGCTGGGAAAGGTGGGGCCCAGTTTCTGCCAGGGCAGGAAGATCGCAAGCTCAAGGCCAGCCAGGCAATGTAGCCTTCTACTGGCTGCTTAAAGTGGGTTGTGCTACATATTATCTGCACATGTAGCATCTTTTTCTGCTAATATAAACAATGTTACAATACTTGTCCTTCCATGAAGTCAATCCTCATTTTTGCAGATTCTGTGCTTGTGAATTCACATACTTGTTACAACTTTGCTGTTTATCTGTAACCTAAAGTGACAGTTCCAGGATAGGCCCATGCACAGAACACAGGGCAGTCGACAGAGACCTTCCTGCCTCGGACCTCACCAGAGACCACAGCAGAGAGCAACACAGATGCTCCGGCCTGGCACAACGCCGGGCAGCTGCTGGTGAGGTGGCCTCAGGCAAGTCACCCCACCCGTCCGTGCTTCATTTTTTCTCAGAAAATAGGCCCCACAAGCAGAGCTGTTTCAGGGTGCAGGACTGTGATGCACACGAGCTGCCGTGCATTTCTCCAGGAGCACCACCAAGGGGCGGCATTTGCTAACCCAGGGTGACAGAATGGAGGACTCATTGTGGCAAGTGCTTCCTGGGCTGAGCCCAAGGGCACGGGGTGGGGGCGTGGGCTTTTACCAGGGGGAGCCGGCGTACCTGAGATGGAGCCCAGCAGCACACTGCTCTTGACACACCTGTACACGTACTCGTAGCTCTGGGCTTTCAGTGGGGAGCCGGTGGCCAGGATCGTGTGCAGCGTCTGCAGGTTGTGGGTCTCCCCTTCGGGGGACAAGCAAGCACCAGGATGTCAGGGCTGAGCCCGGGCAGCGCACCCGGGAAGCAGGCCCCTGCTGGCTTCACTCCACGACTGCCGGAGCAGGGACCAGGACGGTGCCTCCCACTCACCTGGCTTCAGGCCCTTCTCTTCGAGGATGGACAGCCACTTGGCACCGGTCCCAAGGACAGTGATGCTGGGGTCGGACGGGAGGGAAACCAGACCTTCAGCCCCTGCTCCACCCACAGCCAGGGCACCCATGCCATGGCACTGGGCGGAGCAGGACGCCTGCACCTACCCGATCCGGTCTACCAGGTCCCACAGCACGCTGGGCGTCGGCACCAGTGGGGAGCCGTCGTACAGCACCAGGGACGCGCCTGTGGCCAGTGCCGACACCATCCAGTTCCACATCATCCAGCCGACCTACGTGGAGCAAGGAGCTAGTGCCATGGGGGCCAGCAGGGTCCCCAGAAAACCGCCCCACACCAGCAGGAGGTGCCTAGAGCTGCCACTGCCCATGGCCACAGCCCAGCAGTTCCACACCCACGGTGGACACAGAGACTCAGGCGAGCAGAGACAGCGGGGAGCTCTGCTGTGGCCGAGCTGGTGCCGAGCCTGAGGGGAGCAAGACCCCGCGACGTGCAGGCGCCCACACAGGCCCACTGGCCACAGGCTGGGACCCCAGCCCCACCGGGTGCCCTGGGCAGCTCCGCCCGGTCTCAGGGTTGGCTGTCCGGGTCAGGGAGGACACCGGTGGTGGGAAGGCCCAGCCCGCAGCCCTGCTGGGCCGTCATGGGCCAGTGAAGCCGCCACAGTTGGGCAACGAGGCTGGGGACCCTGCGCCCTCCGCCCCAGGCTGCTACTGCCCCTGAGGGGCGACGGGCGGCTCAGTGGGAAGACCTCACGCCCGGCCAGCAGGCAGACACCAGGGAAGACGAACCCCTCGGGAAAGCTCCCCTGGGAGCTCTGCTCTGCACACAGCCAGGTCCTGAACACTGTGCTGCTGTCGCTGAGGCCTCAGCAGCCGCTGGGGCTCTTCGAGTCGCCCGAGCACCTCCTGTTGGCACTGGGCCTCCCGCCTGCCCAGTGGGCTGAGAAAGGACAGAGGTGACGAGAGCCAGCTCTGGGGACGAATCCCCAGGGTTGGAGAACCCTGAGCCATGTGACGCTTGCCCTTTGCTCACAGCCCACGGTCACCCAGTGGACAGCTCGGGTCCCCTCCTGGGTCTGTGTGGGGTCAGGGGCCACGAGGTCACGGAGGGACCCGGGTGCCGAGCTCTCGGGGCAGGAACCTGCTGCAGCACTGTTTCCTGAAGAACTCGGCACACACCTGGGAGCCAAGCACAAGGAGGCTGAGGCGGAGGATCACAGCCTGGTCGAGGCCAGTCTGGGCTACACAGTGACTACACGCCCCTGCACCCCCCAGCTGTCCCCTCATCCCCAACAACTGGGCTTGGGGCCTGGTTAATGACTGCACCCCACACAAGAGCCTCCCAGCAGTGCCAGGCAGGGAGAGCCAGGTGCGGTGGCCTTACCGTGGTGTAGTAGAGCAGGACGTCGCTGCAGGTCATGTTCCCATGCAGCATGTGCTCCTTCAGGTGCTGGATGAGGGTGCCCTGCAGGAGGGGGAGCGGGGCGAGGGTGAGTGGCTGCCGGGCTCAGCCCAGCACGGGGTCACGGGTCACAGCCGACACCCGAGGTCCTCACAACTGGAGGGGGGTCCGGCTCAGTCCTGAGGGCCCAGTGGACCCAGAACCCGGCAGGAGACGTGAGCATCGATGAGAGGAAATGCAAAGTTGAAGCCCACACACCTCGTACCTGTGTAGCAGGGGTGCCCAGCCCACGGGCTCCCCCTGG